CGCTGGAGCCGGAAACTGGTAGGTCTTGTCTGGCAAGCTGGTTCCGCGTCTCACAAACTTGTGTCTTGGCATGCTGTGGCAGTCCTTTTAAGGGGTAATGTTTTTGGGCTTTGTTTTGATTTGGTTTAGCGGGGATTAGGGATTAGGGCTTTGAATTTGGTGTTGTCTGCAACCAAACATCCGGAAATTAATCGTCAAAGTAGCAGCAACACAAGCCTTGATTAGTTTGCTTTTGGGACTACCAAGTGGAACAGCATTCCAGAATTGTTGTTATTGCTATTGCCATTCCTATCAGTATTACGACTACGGCAATGAAAACTACGATTGCGGGATATTTAGGACTTAGGGTTTAATACAGCTTATGATAACTTGCGAAAAAATTGGGGCAGCTGCCGCCACTGTACTTAGTCAGCCACCTGTCTTCCACGCTGTGCAGTGTGCCTGCAACAAAGAGCCCAGTAAAAGCCTTGTCAGAGCCCTATAGAAGCCCTTTAACAACCCTATATGACACCTCCTGCCGAGGCCCTCTTTGCCGCACAGTCCTTGCCGGCGGGCAGGCACGGCAGGCGCCATTGACGCAGCCAAGCGGCAATGTGGAAGGTAGTTTGATATGTATTATCATCGTCACTGTCAGGCAGCTCTCACTTTCTCTCGGTCGATATTGTATGTATGTATGTAAGTATGCATGTAAGTATGTATGTGTGTGTATGTATGTATGTATGTATGTATGTATGTATGTGTGTGTATGTATGTGTGTATGTAATGTATATCTGTGCTGTGGATGTGTGTGTAGAAGTGTGGATGTCAGGAACCATCTTAACGGTCTTAACGGTGACACCTCCATGGCTAGTTGTCAAAATTGTGGTCCCTTTTCGGGTACCCCAAATAATCGGTGCCGTATTATATTAAGGACCTCAAAGGGGACCCTGATTTTGATAACCACCCACATGGTTAACTGTTCATAAACCTGGGGCGGGTTTCCGCCAAGCCTGGCCGGAGCTGCTTGGAAGCCACAAAGAGACCGCACACGCGACTCATAAAGCCTAGGTAGCCTCCAGAGAGCCTTCTTGCCTTGCCGCAGAGCCCGTGTTATGCCTGAGTACGATACATACCTTGAAGGAAACTTCGAAACCCTCAGCCTTAAGCAAACACCTTCCACACAACCCCACCTCCAAGCAAAAGATGCAAACAACGAATCCCCTAAACAATAAGCCCACCAAACCTCTACTGGCGCACAAGGCAGAGTGCCCGTGAACCGGCAGGGAACGAGGCTGCTCAGCCGTGAGCGCTGCCTTTGCTATGCATCGACGAAGCTCAAAGCTTCAGTCCTTGCATCTCGCAAGTTTAGGGTTTGGGGTTTAGGGTTTAGGGGTTTAGGGTTTAGGTTGTTTTAGGGTTTGGGGTAATTGTAGGGTAGGGTGAGGGCGTTTGTTGGACTCAGGGGTTAGGTTCAAGGTCTTTAGTTTTGTTTAGGTTGGTTTGGTTGCTTACAGTTTAAAGTTTAGCGTCGCAGGGTTTACGGTTTAGCGCCCTCAGGCTATCGGGTACAAACAGAGCCATGTTGGGGTCAAGCTGTTCAAGTAGCCTACAGCGCAGGTCCTGTGACCTACAGGGTTCACACTGAGAGATCCGCTTGGTTCTCTCGATACGAACGCCGTCATGGGACGGTCAATCTGGTAGAGCGAGTCAAAGATGTCTGATACGGTTGATGATATAAATCCTGCATTACCTTAAGGACCCTAAACTATGGGAATAACGGTATATTCCTTATTATGGGTAATGCAGGATTTAAATCATCAACAGTAGTGTGTCCAGACCTTTCGGAAAGGTTCGCCACCTCGCTCAGCTTTTTATGGGCTTTCCGGCCGAGATTCGAGCTTTCTCGTTCTTCTGGTTTCAGGACATTTTGGTACATGAAAGCATTCGAAGCCAGAGTTCGGCTCAGATTCCTAAACCCAGAAACACCCCCCAAAACCCCAAAATTCCTAAACCCTAAACCAATTAAAGCCCGAAGCCCTAAGGTGAATGTGTAAGCCGGGTGAGGAGGGCGGAGCTTTATGGGGTCCTTGCTCCCTTTTATGAGCCACTTGGGCTCGAAGGGCCCAGGCATTGGGCACTCCAGCAATCTTCTGCGTCGTTTGCTTGGCCGTCGGAAGTGCCCGAAGCTTCATCACGGCCACGCTGCTCGTGGAAATCCTGCACAGCGTATCCTGAAACCCTGCGTGAACTTGGGAAGCTTAAACCTCACTGTTTAGGGTTTCGAACTTAGGCTAACCCTTGACCCCAGCAATAACATGAATGGAATTTCAATCACAACCCTCGAAGCCCTGCAAGAGACTCAGACGGGAGTGCCCACGAAACCTGGGTTTGTCACAGTCTCTGAGATGGGGGTTTCCGAAAATAGGGGACCCTAATATGGTACCCTAAATAATAGGATCCTTACTATAAGGACCCCAGAATAAGGTACCCCTATTTTCGGACACCCCCAGATGGAGCTCAAATTTCCGAGAGGCGAGGCGAGGCGTGAGGCCTTCTTGGTGCTTTGGGGTTTAAGGTTTAGGGTTTAGGGTTTAGGGTTTTGTGTAAGGGTCTTATAGAGGGTGCTCCTAGAAGTGCTCTACAAAGTTTCCGGGGGAGGTGGCGGGCTGTAGGGTTTAGGGCTTTTAGGGTGTAAAGGCTTAAGGTGTTGAGTGTGAGGGCTTGGACGATATAGATGTTAGCTAAGGGGACGTGGAAAGAAGTTTCACCCTAAACCCTAAACCCCTAAACCCTGGACCCTAAACCGTAACGTGTGGAGCTGCTGACCCCCAAACCCCGAAATCCATACATAACGTAGGGGTCGGAGTACCCAGTGCAAATTTTCCGTTGCAGTACAATCCCCAAATTTTCCGAAAATAAGGGACCCCAATATAGCACGCTAGATAGTAGGATCCGTAGTATAAGGACCCCAAAACACCCCAATATTCGGAAACTCCCAAAATCAGTACAGCCAAAGCAAAGTCCGATTGTTAAGGCACCTCCATTATACATCCACAGACACCTCAATGCAGCTTTCAAGCCCTAAACTTACCAGAACTGTGCAAAACAAACCCTAAAGAAACCTATCATTTCTATCCGCGATATCCACTGGCTTTTTTTTGGGTGAGGTCGCGTTCACAGGGCTCTAAACCCTAAACCCTAAAACCTAAACCCTAAACCCTAAAACCCTAAACCCTAAACTCTAAGCCCTAAGCCCTGTGGGCTTTTATGGTTTCGATTCTGATTGGGGCTCCCTTCCGGGGGTTCCTGAAAAGGTTCCTAGGAGGTCCAGGCGAAGTTCGCAGAGGCCCCAACTTCCGCCCGCGATCCCCTAGGGCTTATATAGGGGTTTTAGGGTTTAGGGGTTTTGGGGTTTAGGGTTTTAGGGTTTTACGGTTTAAAGTTTAGGGATGTTTAGGGTTTCGCGGCTTCTTAGGGGTTAGGGCTTAGGGTTAAGCTGGGTGACATCTCCAACAACATGCACTGCCCGTGAATCCCCTCGCCCAAATATCCATGCGCATTCTTTGAGGGTACTGATTGTCTTTTTAAATAGTTGCAACAGTAGAGTAAGTTTGTGAAAAACTGTTGCAATGTCACGCCTGCTAGAACAAGCAGGCACCGACACTGTACGGCTGTCCAGTTTAAGATTCAAATCAGTTCTCCGCCTCCGCCGGGGCCGCCTAGCCAGTGACTCAGATGCTCCCGAACCCCTCAATTGAGTTTCGGGAATATACTACTTGAGTCAGAGAGCATGCGATACGGTACACTCCTTAATCAGCTGCACAAGCCTATGAGGCCCAGAGGAAGCTCTGCAGAACCTTTTTCGAACCCTGTTAAACCCACAAACTCCTACAACCGCCTAAAGACCCCTTCCTAAACCCTAAACCTTAGAAGGGGCCCCCACCCTGTAATAGTGACTATAAGGATTATATTAGGGCCCTATTATATCAAGTTATATCCCTATTATACCACTATTACAGGGTGGGGGCCCCTCCCTAAACCCTAAACCCTACAGAGCTCAACTGAGGGGGCTTTGAGTCTGGGCCTTTTTAGGTCCGAGCTCGTTGGAGAAAGGGAGGCCGGGGCGAAGGAGAAGAGCCGGCTTGCAGGAGGGGTTTGGGTTTGGACCTGGACTTAGTTGGGGTTATAATTAAGATAACTACAGTTATAGTTACACATAACCCCACTTAAGGTACTTCTAACCTTACTTACTATGGGGTTTGGGCTTGGGTGTAGGGTTTAGGTTCGTCGGGTTTGGAATGTGGGAAGTAGGGTTTAGGGTCTTTGGTTGGGGGCTTGGCTCGCTACGTCAGGATTCAGGGTTTTAGCGATCCTGGTGCTTGTAACGCAGGGGCTGCTAAACCCGTAGACAAGGGTTTGGGGTGCCCTCTAAGAGAAAATGGAGATAGGGACTATAAGAGGATACCTGGTTTCCTCTATTCTCCATAGTTGTTCCGGTTTTGGATTTATCAGGATTATTTCTAGGGCCCTTTTCAGCCAACCCAACAAAGGCAAAACGGGGACTACAGACACGACCCAGAGGCCCCGTAGTAGTTCCTTTTTGGGATGATCTCATAGGATTCAAAATATGAGCCCCACTATGGGGCCTCTTGGTACTACGAAATATACCGAGCCAGAGCTCCCGACCTGAGTCAGCCCAGTCCTGGTTCGGGTTTAGGGTTTAGGCGGTTTAGGGTTTTAGGGTTTAGGGTTTACGGTCGCCGTGCCAGTGACCTGTGTTGCCATGATTTGACCTCGGCGGCTTTGGCTCAAGTTTCACCACCCAAGGTCCGTGACGCCCAGCATTTGCAGTCGACTCGTCTGCAGAGCCTCCGATCCCGAAGACCCCAGTAGGTGGATTCGAAGCCCGAATCCTCAGCCGCAATGAGAGGTAGGACTCGTAAGCTCTCTTCCTCAAAGGAGGGATACTGGGCTCCTTGTGTAAGTGACTTTCGCTATCTCAGGTCTATCTCAAATTCCTCATGCCGACTGGCAAATTGAAGAAATTCGTCTCCGACAAGGTGCCCGGAATGTGGGTAAACTCCGTCAAGCTCGGTGGTACTGCTGATGGACCAAACCCGCAATGTCTAAAATGCAGAGTCTGCCAACACTTCCGCAGTTTAGCGCAGGACTTTGCCCATGAACTTTAGCACTAACTCACACCTGGAAGGGAAGCTCTAGCTGACTCTAGCTTGCACAGGGCTTCGGCTTCATCACACCAGACGAGGGTGGCGACGACGTCTTTGCGTACCGCGGGACGCAAAGAGCTCGTGGAATTTGGCAACGGAGAGGGTGCAGGGCTATACAAGGCTGAGGGAAGAGATTGTAGACTTTCAGTGCCCGCACAGTGTCGCCCTTGTCGCTCCAGCCCTGTTCCAAAGGGCCTGGCAACCAGGTCAGTGCAAGCCGACATTCCATCAATGAAGAGTTACTAGTGCCATCGTCCAGGGGCGACAACAACCAGAGACGTCGATCGTCGGGCAAGGCATAAGCGAAACCTAAAGCCAGACTCCATTCCCTTAGCAATACACCCTGGACTCTGAATAACCCTACAACCGCAAACCCTTCATACCAAGACTCACAAATTTAGAGGGCTCCCCTTAGTTTTGAATCTCAGGCCCCTAGGTTCTACAAGCCGCCAGACGCTTCCGGCTGTTGCCAGGCATACTTTGCAGTTCAGTGGTGACGGTGATTCTCTCAGGGGCGGAGAGCGAGTCACTTACGAGGCTCCTTTGCAATGTTGAAGCTCCTCAGCGTGTCACACTGGAAAGGTGATGGGAGTCAGCAAGGAGGCTGTTGCGCTCTCCGGTTGAGATACGTATAACTAGACATGGCTGTATAGTTCAGTTACCTAGAGCTCTAATGCTCTGAAGTAGCTCACCGTTGGATGGATGCTACAGCCATGGTCATGACTTGATCGACGCCGCAAATCACTTGCAGACGTGATTCACGTCATTCTTGATCTACACGAATTCGACATGCTTGTACTGCTGGAATATAATCTGACGCGCGAGCTCAGATCAGCATTCTCTTGGCCTACCCATCCTGAGCCCCGAAAGTTCTGAACCCGAGGGCCCATACCTAAATCCTGCACCCATTCTCGTCAGGCCGAATGGGATGACCGCAAGAGCAAGTGCCTGGGTTGAATTCTGTGGGTTCAACTTTTGCCTCTTGATGCTTTCTCCGAGTATCTCCTTGCATTGTAAGACCCTGAATCCCAAAGCTCGAAACCCTGAACCCGAAGTCGTCTCGTGCGCGGCCTTCGACCAAACACTATCCAAGACCATATAGGACTACAGCATAACAAGCTCGGCACGAGTCACACGCATCCTAGTCGTCCTCGCCTGGCACTTGGGAAGATCAGCTCGTTTGCCGGGTTGAAATGAAGTTACCAGCATTCGGAGATGTAGGAAGTAACATCCCTCCCTTACAATATATGTAGCAAGGGAACGTAAGCTTCCTTGCAAAACCCTGAGCTCTAAACCCAATCATCAAGCAGACATAAAAAAGGAGGGTACAATTATAACTACTATTACTATCATACTACTACCATGTAACTATCATATTACTACCATTATAACTACTATTACTACCATTCTTCCATTCCCTACTAACCGGAAAGCATCGTTAGGTACAGGGCCTCTTCCTGGGCAATCGACATGAGCGGTGGCAATGCCGTGGCTCAGCTGCCTGGAGCTGCGCTTCCAACCTCCCTTATCACACACACACACACACACACACACACACACACACACACACACACACACACACACACACACACACACACCGTATTCCCCCAAACCCTTCAACCCTGAAAATAAACCCCCAAACCCTAGAAATAAACCCCCTAACCCCGAGAAATAAACCCCCTAACCCTAGAAATAAACCCCCCCAAACCCCTAGAAATAAACCCCCTAACCCTAGAAATAAACCCCCCCAAACCCCTAGGCCCCCAAACTCTGATCTCCCCAACCCTGAAACCCCTAGCGATCTCAATCCTGAGCCTCGAAAGCCCCTCAACTTACCGTTGGTTAGTAGGGAATGGAAGAATGGTAGTAATACAGTAGAAGCCAGAAAGTTGGAATATCATTATCGTAACCCCTTTGAAGTAAATTATAGGGGATCCTACCATTAATCCATATTCCAACTTTCTGGAGTTCCCTGTAGTAGTTATAATTGTACCCCATTCCTCCATTCCCTACTAACCAAAGGTAAAGATCCCTTTAAAGGAACCCTAAACCCCTATAGATCCCTTTAAAGGAACCCTATAGATCCCTTTAAAGGAGCCCTAGTCCCTGCTAACCAACGGTAAGTCAACTGCTCTTTGCTAGTCAGCAGACAATCGGTTAAGGGGTCTATCTGTAGTCTCCATTGTAGTTCCTTTTATTGATTATCCAATTTTATGGTTAGGACCCTATAATAGAGATTTTGGTTAACCAACAAAAGGAACTACAATGGAGACTATAGGTAGGGTCTAGCGATTTAGGGATTCAGGGTCTACGGTTTAGGGTTTAGCAGCCTCTCCCGTCTCGCCGAGGTGATGCACAGTGGAATGCTCAAGAAATACTTCCCCGATAAAGGCCAGTGGTGAGGTTTCTGGGGTCCAGGATGCACCAACACCCCGTAATCTGGGGGCCTTGATAATTACCTATACGATGTCGGGGGTTCCTCGTGATAATTAGAGTATAGTGGGCCCAAAAACCCCTTTATGTAATCCTTTGAATGGATGATGGAAACCTTCAAGAACTTGCACAGCCCTTGCAAAAAAGCAAAACCATCCTGAACTGAAGCTGGTATCTTGTATATACTGGGATCCCTAAACCCCTTCGCCTACCCCCTAAAAACAAAAACCCTCAATGCTAAACCCTAAACCCACAAATCCCTCAACCCTTACCCTAAAACCCTAACGCCCTAACCTTCCAATGCCTTGGGATCTTCGGACTCTCAGTCGGGGCTTCGGGCGTGTGCTTGGTGTTCGCCTCTGGCGACGCACTGTCTGGGAACAGTAGTAGGGGAATATGTGGGGGGATTTTGGATGATTCCGATAGTGTACCTCAACCTATCAAATCCTACTTTTTTGTCGGTTTTCGTTATAAACCCTAGTATGGGCATTTATAGGGACCCTACGAAAGAGTAGGTTCTGGTAGGTTAAGGTGTAGAGTGTTACATCTAAAGGGTTTATCACGGTGGCTTTCATCGGGTTTGCTGGGGTTGTCGGGTTCCCTAAACTCAGAATCGCAACAGCGCCGGGACAGGATCCCACAAGTTGGAGCCTACACTACGTCTCTCGCTGCTGAAACTTCCAAGGCTTCATAGCTCTCTAGTAGCTTCTAGTAGATAGTTCATCATGTATACCATCGTATGTAGTTTTAGCTTTTATGGCATCTAGTAGATCATTGTAAGTATCATATTCCAAACCTGGTTGGCCTGGATACTTGAACCCGGGCTCATGTGTTTTGACTGCTATTGTACATTTCATAGCGCCCCCATAGACCCCTGCACCCCTATTCAGAACCCTTTAGCACTCCGGGTAGAGCCCGTATAGATCCCGATGGCAACATGATATGTGTGGCGCCGGGCATGCCGGCACCCCAAAATAGTATCCAAATCATTTAATTAGGGACCCCAAAAGGACATCAGCATAATCATTTTACAGGGGTATCGCTACCTTGGTGGGCTTCACTCTAACCGAGCTTGCATTGCATGGATATCGCTGTCCGAATTGCGGCCCTAATCATGGCCGTGGCGATCAGTACTACGATAGCCTAAACCCTAAACCCTAAACCCTAAACCCCTAAACCCTAAACCCCTAAACCCTAAACCCTAAACCCTAAACGAACCCCGGTAACCCTAAACCCTCAGCTGCCAGGATTCGGGTTCATTGAGCCCCAAGATGGCAGTGAAGACCTTTTCGCGTGCCATGGCACAGGGTTTTAGGGATTAGGGAGCCCTAAACCCTAAACCCTAATCCCTAAACCCTAAACCCTGTAAAGGGTTCCTTTAAGGAGTCTATAGGGCTCTTTAGGGGTTTAGGGATTTAGGAGATCAGGGTTTGGGGTTGAGTGTCAGTGGTCCCCAAACCCTGAGCCCTGTATCCTAAAGAGCCCTAAACCTAGACCCTAACTCCTAAAACCGAAACCCAAAGTCTAAGTCCTGCGACCTGAGCCTATGACCCCTAGCTCCACCATGAAAGCCTCAATGTTTCTCGACTGAGCTACGTCAGCGCAGGCACACTGTGATGCATCAAGGGCTGCAGGGGTTCTTGCTTTGGGGGCTTAGCATCCTTCCGAGGCAGAAATTGTTGACAGCTGAGGCATTCGAGACAGTTCACAGGAGGCGATCCTACAAACCTGACTGATGGCATCAAGGTGAAGTGCCTGGGACCTGTGCTTGGAAGTCCAGGTTTCTGCAGGGAGGCCTTTGCGATGCTCTTGTTCTGGAAGAAAGGATGCAAGGGTCCTGGGGAGGCTCGAGATGCGAGTCGCGTATGCAATGTGGATATACACAGATACACAAATCCACGAGACATGTGTATGCATGCGTGTATTCGCGCATGTGTGTGTGTGTGTGTGTGTGTGCATGCATATATTTGTATGCATATATATATATATATATATAGACCGTCGTGCGGAAGGGGAAGGGTGGTGTCCGTCCCCAGGCAGGATCTGTCAACGGATAGAATTCCGAAATGTTCTTTTATATGGTTGGCAATTCTTGGAAATTTCTACACATGCATGCAACGCTCCTAGACCTAATCTTAATCCCAGTTCAGCTCTTAGTACCACTATTACTTTTTGTAGAAGTCTTACTTCTAGTATCAGTGTTCAATATTCAATATGCCAATGGACTCATGCACGAACGTACGCATTTATCAATATACAAAGAGCATACAGACATACAGGTATACAAATATAGTATTGTTCGAATACATTAATGTAATGGTATATTAAGCTGTTAATATACGAATCTATCAGTATACGAACACATCAACACTAATTCTAGTATTGATACGACGAATACTAGCACTTCTGCGAATAGTATACTGACATTAAAGCCAGCATTAAGACTGCGTAAAACTAACATCGGCATTAGCACTGGCATTAACACTAGGTATCACTAAATATGCTAGTTTTCTAATATACGAATACTGTAAAATGCAAGTATACTGACATGTGTGTATATATATACAGATAGATAGATAAATATCTACACATGCATATGCATATACATATACGCATGTATGTATGTATGTATGTATGTATGTATTTACATACATATCATACATCCATTGTGTATCTGTGTATGTAGTATCAGGACTGTTGTATTTGTGTGACGTGGTCCCCAATTGGCTGACCTCTCCCGCCCGAGCTCATCTCAGGTACGAGGTGGAATGGGACGCGAAGAAGGGCAAGAACAAAGCAGGCTGCTGGGTGGACACGTTGTCAGGGAACCTTAAACTCTAAACCCTAAACTCCAAACCCCTAACCCTAGAAGCCCAGATGCCTTGTAAGATCTTTTCGCCACAACACCGACACAGGGTAGCTGGGCCTGCATGCGAAGTCTCTAAAGTGTCTCTAATGAAGCCTGGAAGCTCTACCTATAGTCTCCATTGTAGTTCCGCTAGCCAATGATGTATTTAGGACCCTATAGTTTCTAACATAACCCCAAGAAAATAAGTACAATCAATGGAGACTATAGGGAACACGGATCCCCCAAAAAGCTTGTCACACCCTGCAAAGGGCCCTAGATTGCAGCCCTGTAGTCGGAACGTCCTGAGGATCATGGTGCCTCGACAACGGCGAGGCCGGCTTCGGCGGTTTCGGAGGCTGTGGTGGCTGCGGCGGCTGCTGCGGCGGCTGTGGAGGGTGTGGAGGGTGCGGGGGCTGTGGAGGCTGTGGTGGCTGCGGTGGTTGCGGCTGCGGTGGCTGCGGCTGCGGAGGTGGAGGCTTTGGCATGCAGCAAGGCTTTGGAGGAGGCATGGGCTGTGCCGAGGCTGCATGTGGATTCAACGGAAGGGGAGATGAGGGGCCAATCCAGTTGGACTCATCCAATGTCAGCTTTGATTATATCGATACGAATCATAATTACTGCTCATATATTTGCTGATACTGACAACAGTGGTAATCACGCAATGACAATGCCGGCAATAGTAAGTAATTAGGCAACAGTCGCGCGATAATTAAGTATCAACAGATGACTACCTAACGATATTGAGAACACTATATAGCAGTACTGACGTCGGCTTTATACAGATCCTCCAAGCCATGACGGTGTGTGATGTGGCCAGCAAGTCTAAGCCCTATTGCCCCCCTATTGCCTAAACCCAATTTGCAGACGCATCTGGGAGTTTCCGAAAATAGGGGACCCTAATATAGTACCCTAAATAGTAAGCTCCTTATTATAAGGACCCCAAAATAAGGTACCCCTAATTTTCGGAATCTCCCATCTGCATCATGCTACAGGTCCCCAGTACGGTGGTGGTCAGGGCTTCGGAGGACCCGGCAATGGATACGGCCCAGCCGCTTGCTTGATGTTTGATGCCCCCTCTCTCCCATCGTATCATAGACTAGGTAGGCCTTTGGGACATTATATATATATTCCCTTTTTGGGCTTAGTAGGACCCTATTTACGAATATTTTTCAGAGGCTTTAAGGGGCCAAACTAGTAGAACTTCACCCTAAATCCCAATTAGCTCCAAATCCCACACCGCAATCCCCATGCCGTGACCCCTGATCCATTCTTTCGTTGAGCCTTAGCCTTAACCTACCCATAGGCTCCATGGTAGTTCCGTTTTTGGATTACCTTACAGGATTCTAAATGCTGACCCCCAATAAGGAACTACTATGGAGCCCACGGGAAGCGAATCATAATCATGTCCGAAAAGGTTCCCCAGTAGTGCAGCCACTTGGGCTAGAGGGGCCCTAAACCAAGAATCCCGAAGCTTGTAATTCAGGTGCCTTAATAGTTAGACTAGGGTTTAGGGGGTATGCTATACTATACCCATAGGCCCCAAAGTAGTTCCTTTTTGGGAATATATTATAGGATTTTATATACGAACCCCAAAAAGGAACTACTTTGGGGCCTTAGGGTAGCTATAATACGGAACAGTAACTAAACCCTAAACCCTAAACCCTAAACCCTGAACCCTAAACCCTAAACAGTATGCAGAACGCATAAGCCCAAACCTTCTAACACCCAAGAGAGTCGAAACTGTAATCCCCGGAGGCAAAACCTGAAATCCATTAGGGTTTAGGGTTTACCTTAACCCTGAAACACCTACCTTTTTAGGGTTCCTTATTATGACTTCCTTTTCTAAGTCCTTAAAAATGTAGGTTATTCCGGGTTCAGGTAGGGCCTAAGCCCTAAACCAAGCTCTCAAGACCCACTTACCTAAAGCCACGCCGCAGGCCAGCACGCCTCAGAATGATCCGCGCTTCTCCCCGTATGGCGGAGCCCCACAGCAGGGTGGCTTCGGAGGCCTGGGCTATGCTAGGCTTTGGGTTTTGTCATAAGTATTAATTATTAGTTCAGGTGTAGGGTTTAGAGGTTCAGGGTTTAGGGGTTTACGGTTTAGGGTTCTTCAGTATACTCAGAGTACATGCAAACCCAAAGGACTAGTCCAATCATGAGGTCCTAGAAAGGTTCTGGAGTTAGGGTTCTACATTCCGGGGTGTTTGGATTTGAGGCTTAGGGTTTGGGTCTAGTTTTGAGATTAGGTTGTAGGGTTTACCTGAACCCGGAATAACCTACATTTTTAATGACTTATATACGGAAATCATAATAAGGAATCTAAAAAGGTAGGTTTTTCAGGGTTAAGGTAGGGTTTGGTGTTTCGGGTCAGGGTAGAGGGTGCTGTGATGATCCGGGGCTCAAGTCCTCCTACTGCTGCTGGCTACTTTTGGGCTCTTGGGGTGGGTTCCTTGGCCTCTTGTATAGTGTGTAGTTGCCTACCGGTTGCTTTGCCATGGTTGCGCAGATGCGCCTCGCAAGTGCAACTTTTTGCTAGTCACTGGTGGAGGGCTCCGAATTCAGGCTGTTCGGAGTGCGGTGGCGGATGAGCCCCCGACCTGCCTTTCTGGATGTGGTATGGATGTGCAAGCTCATTGCTTTACGGTTTTCTCCTGGCAGCCAATTTTTCTTGAATTCCTAGTGTACAGGCGATGCGCCCGCTGCCTTCATTTCTCGGGCTGCGGCTAGTGATGTGTGGCCGGGTACCTGCGTGCTAAATCCATCATGAGTGGACACGTGGTAGTGCTTTGCCCTGGGCGTCCCGGACTTGCTGCAGCGCGGTCGGCGCAGCTAGGCTGGTTCCCATGGCATGGCAGACAGATCTCACGAGGTCGCATTCGGCGCGGATCATGACATGAGCTCTGTGTTTAATTCGGCGGCTGGTGCTGCAACAGCTGCCGCCAGTGCTGGAATGGTGGGCATCTTCTTGCTTGACAGCTTGCAGGCGTTTTGTTTCAACGGATTTCTGCTTCAGTCGAAGTGGACTTTCTTGGCTGGCGTCTGCGGTTCAGTGGCATGGATCTCTACCTTTCGACGCATTGCATTGCAGTGAAAAACGTATGGCTGGTGCCAGTGTAAACAGCCTGCGGGAACGGCAGAGGAGTATGAGATAGTCCGTTGCCAAGAATAAGGGTTTACGCGTTAGGCTATGCCGATCCCAAGCTAATATGCTGAACCCGAAACCCCAAACAAACCTAAAGCACCAGCCCGAAAATTTTTTATAGCCCTTTTGACCCCTGGGTTGCTGGGGAGCTCAGTATGAAACCCTTGTGCAGCCGCATAGAACCCCCACGAAAGGGCTGTAAAGCCCTCCAATCGGCCCCCGGAACCTGAATGACCGAAACAATCAAACTCTAAATCCCTGAACCCCTAAACCCTAAACCCTAAAACCCCTATTGATCCCTTAAAGGAACCCTTATAGATCCCTTTAAAGGACCCCCTATAAACCCCCTCTTTTTCCCTTGAAAAGACCCCTAAACCCCTCAACCCCCAACCCTAAAACCCAACACCCTTAAAAACCTTCTAGACCCCTTAAAGGGGCCCTCTACATGAACTTCCCAACCCCTAAACCCCTAAGCCCCTTTGAAAAAGCCCACCTCTTCCCCAGACCCCCCAGAAGGATCTAGAAAGTAGATCCCCTGATTTGGGGCTCTATACTATCTAAGGGTACGTTATAGGAACCCCCATGAAGGGATCTACTTTTTGGATCCTCCCCTAAGCCCTTAGCCCGCCTAAACCCTAAAACCATATAGATCCCTTAAAGGGACCCTCAAAGGAACCTCCTATCAGGGTTTAGGGTTTAGGGTTTAGGGACTTTATAAGGAGCTCCCATTAAGGGATCTACTTTTTGGATCCTCCCCCAATGTTCTGGGTCGAGCAGGTCAGGCGCCAATGGGCCAGGGAGGTCCTGCCTCTCTGCCGCCAGGCCATGGGAAAAGGAGCCCTTATAGAACCCTTAAAAGAGCGCTTACAGGAACCCTTGCAGGGAACCCTTAAAAGAGCGCTTAAAGGGACCCTTAAAGGGAAAAAACCTAAAAGGGGATTGTTTTTTTGTTTGGTTTAGGGTTCCTTAAATTAAGAGGGCATTTCATAGGGTTTAGGGTACCTTAAATGAAGAGGGCATTTCATAGGGTTTAGGGTACCTTATATTGAAAGGGCATTTCATAGGGTTTAGGGTTTAGGGCAAATCCCAGGGGTTGAGGGTGTAGCGGTTTAGAGGTTTAGGGGTTTACGGTTTGAGGGTTTGGGGTTTAGAGGTAAGGAGACATAAATAAGGATCAGCCTGTTCAACATCAGGGTCTCAAATATTCGACAGGGTGGAAAGGGTATAGTAAAGAACCTGTAACGAACAATCTGCTGTATAATCATTGCTTTTCTACACGAAAGTTTCTTCGTGGGTTACGCATGGTGTTTTGATAAGGGCTTCTCCGGGCTTATCAGGGGGGTCTCATTGGATTGCATAGGGGTTATGTTGGGAACTTGCACGGCTCTTGGGCAGCAGACGCATTGCCCCGATCTTCCAGCTGGAACAGGGCTGGTATATTCATTTTATTGGGATTCTTATTGCGATTGCTATAGTGTTAGTGTTGCTGTTGCTGTCATGATCATTATGATTAGTACTATTGTTATTGTATTTGTTGTAGGGTGTTTATCATGGTTGTTGTTGTTGCGGCTATCATTATTGTTATTAATATCACTACTAGTGTTATTGGTATTGCTGTTAAGATAAACAGCGTCATCTCAAGATTATTACTAGTATTGTTTTTGTGATTCTGAGTACCGCTTGTTATGACTACTATTAGTGGTATTAGTAATCGTGCTGGTGTTCGTGGTATTACAAGTGCTAGAATTATTGATATCATCATCGTCATAAGTACTTCCCCCCCCCCCCCGTCTCTCTCCCTCTCCCTCCCTCCCTCCCTCTCCCCTCTCCCTCCCTCTCCCTCCCTCCTCCCCCTCTTCTCCCTCTCCCCCTCTTCCCTCGCTCCCTCGCTGACCCCGTGGCTTCACAAAAACAGTGCGACCATAGCCTGAGTGTGTCGCAAAGCAGAATGAACCACCACCAACAGCAAGAAGTGACAATGAATCCGTACAGCTTGTGGTGTCTGCAAAGTAGAGCACGACGTTTCTATCACTGTGTCTGGGAGTTTCCGAAAATAAGGGACCCTAATATAGTACCCTAAATAATAGAACCCTTATTACAAGGACCTCAAAATAGGCACCCCTAATTTCGGAAACTTCCATATAGTCGTGTTATTGCATTCCCAGTCCCCAGGCCCGGAACACTGAAAAAGCAACGGCCCTCAAACGCCCCAACTCCTGACGCCCTGAATTCCATAAACGCCCAAAGCCCCAAAGCCCTTGCGAAACCTTTAAGGAACTCTGATAGAACCCTCACAGAACCCCTGACACAACATCTGAACTTAAACTCCCTAAGCCCGAAACCCTAAACCCTGAAAGCTCGAAGCTCCCTATCTCCTTAACCCTGAAAAAGCTCCGATGTCTTTGCCAGGCTGGGAACAGACCCAAGATCCCAGCAGCCCCGACCCAAGATCTTCAATGGCATCAGGGTTTCAGGGCTTTCGGTTTAGGGGTTTAGGCTTTAGGAGTTTAGGGTTTTGGGCCTTAGGTTTAGGAGTTTGAGTTGGGTGTGTTTAGGGCTTTGGGGGTTTTCTGAGGATTTCATCATCATCATCATCATGGGAGGTCGCCTTAGCCACCTGTAGTTCTGTCTGTCTGTATGTTTATCCAATAAATCTATCTGTTTATCTGTCTATCTATCCGTCTATCTGACCACCTCCAGCGATTCTGGTGTTGTCTTTATCATGGCATAGGGGTATCCCATATGGTTTTTACGGAGTATATGTGGATGCGATTCCCAATGATTCCAACATATCCCAACCCATATGTCAGAGCATTCTATCATTTGACCCTACCTGTTTCTGTTCTTCTGAGGAGATTTGCATTTGTCGGCTCTTTATCGGCTTTGAGGTGGCAAGGCCACCAACTGCAACCCCTGCCCCCGTGGGAAATTTTAGCATAGTATAGTGTAGTGTAGTATAGTATGGTCGAGTATAGTGTTTTAGACGTAAACCTCTTCGAGGTGGCAAGACCTACTATTTCAACCCCCTAAACCCTAAACCCTAAACCCTAACTCTTCGAGGTGGCAAGACCTACTATTTCAACCGCAGCACCAACGAGACTAGCTGGACTCCGCCCGCGGCGGCCCCCGCGCCCGCGCCGGCCGTCGAGGCCGAATTTAGGGTCCCAAAAGGTCCAAAGTGCCTAGATAGGGTGTTTTTAAAGGGGCCTATAAGGGTTACTATAAGGGATGTATAAGGGTACTATATTATATTACCTTAGTATAGCAGAATATATATATATATATATATATATATATATATATATATATATAGGCTTTGTATATTAGGAATTGCTAGTAGGATTTGGGGAAGTACAAACCCTAAACCCCTAAACCCCTAAACCTTAAACCCTAAACCCTATCCCCCATAAGAGTACCTAGGACCCTTTGGGGGCTTTAGCGTGGAGCAGGGCACTAGGAGCTCGGGGCACCGTTTGAAGATGCTGCTCTGGCTTGCCGGTTTGAGGCCTTCGGGGGTCTCAGGTTTAGGGGTTTAGGGCTTTACCTGGACCCCCAAAGTATGTAGAGTAATGGCCTTTTATAGGTATTGGGCCATTATTTTACCTACTTTGGGGGGTTTGGGGCTTTAGGGTTTTAGAGGTCGAGGGTCTGGGGTTGATTTTTTGCTCCCTGCCTGGTCCATTAATTCACCGCTACAGCTCTGCACAGGCTGGCGGCTCCTTGCCACCGGGCTGGGAGCAGGCAACCGATCCAAACAGCGGCAAGCCGCACAGCTGACACGTTTGTGTAAGACGAGTAGTCTGCTGCAATCTCCTTCTCGCGCTAGAACTGGCTCTCTGATATTCATGGTTCTGGATACCTGAGTGCTTTTTTTTTGCGGTCAGTCGTGTCGGAAGATCCGGAGTACAGGACTACTTCAGCTTTCTTTGTCAGATCATGCTCTTAGCCTGATTAGCCAAAAACCCTTAGTAACCCTTAATGCTAAATCGTTGACCCTCTAAACCGTACCAAAAACCGCAATGACTATGCCAGGTACTACTTCAACAGGTCGACCAACGAGACCAGATGGGAAGCGCCGACCATGTGAGAGTGGTACTTTGGACTTGTCCGGGCCCTTTCCAGTTATAATCGGGCTCGCAGAAGAGTTGTGCCAAGCCATGTCAGCTAGTCGCAACACGGCCGCCAAAGCTGCAGCTCCGCTCATAACTGGGGCCTCCAGCTAAATGCGCATCAACAGGGGCCGCTATGCCGGCCCGGCTTCTATGAACCTCCAAAAGGAACGCCTAGGGGCCCGCTAAGACCCGAAACTCCCGGCAAGGGCTTGAATATCGATCCTATTCCTTAGGATGTACTATATCACATACGCCCAAAACTTATTCTAATCCTGCCCCTAAAGTATGTCGGGTCCGGGTCTTGTTCCCTTATACGAGGCCACAGCAGCAACAGGATACTTCACCCTCAGTGGGGTTCATATTATGTACTGCACTTAGACATCGAGAGGTTGCCGTGCATTTTGGAATCTGCGTGCCCCGACACCAAAACGACGGCTCATGCTCTGCTGATGCCTGCAGCTTGCAAGATTCTTTAGGCGATGGACCGTCACACCACACGCATGTTTTGGGTAGACACGTGTTTTGAGGTGGCTAGATTGTTCATGCTAAACTAACAACCAGGAGTTTGATCAATGCAGGCTCGTCAGAACTTCTTTTCACTGCTCCGCTTCTCATCAGGGCGTTGGACACCGATGTTTTCTTGAACCATGGACCCATTGCAGCGGTGCGCTCTACATGCTTTGTCCGGCTCAAGCTGGGCAATGTCCTTTGCGTCTTTCAGCAGACCTGGAATCCGCAAAGGCACAGAATTTAGGGTTTAGGGCTTTCGGCAGATCTGGAATCCGCGAAGGCAATTGCTGCAGAGCATTTCGCAACATTCGACAGCGGGCACTTTCGTAAGTGTCTCTTCAGTGTTGAGACTGCCGTTTAATAAAAGGGGACCCTATAAGTAGGGTTTACAAGGGCCCCTTTAAAGGGATCTATAGGGATTCTATAGGGGTATAGGGTTTATAGGGTCTACTTACATGCTTGCAGAAGAACCCTTGAGAGCTTGTAGAACGCTGTGGGTTTCTGTCTGGCTTTCTTGGGAACCAGCACGTCGTGCCGATCGCTGCCGGCTGGTTGGGAATCCGGTCGCCAATACATGGGTGGTTGTCAAAATTATGGCCCCTTTTTTGCAGCCCTAATATAGTACGGCACCTAAAGTTTAGGGTGCCCCAAAAGGGACCATACTTTTGACAACTACCCACATACATGAAGAGGTTCCCCGGTCTGGTTCGCATGTTTCTGAATGGCTCCAATCGGATCTTCGGTTGTACTGGAAAGGCCATGGTATGCTATTTATGACGCACAGCTCAGTACAATGCATACAGAGACCAAGGCTGACGATCTCACACGATGATGCCTGCCACCTGCGACAGCGCATCACCCTATGCTCGAGTGCAGCGATCTGCATGAGAATGAACCTAGACTATGTCTTTAACCTTGTTGGTAGTGCGGACCCCTAACCCTCTCTGCTGCCCGTTCTGCCCATCTTCTAGAAATCTAGCCGCCGTCAGGCTAAGGACAGGATGAGCTGATTCTTCAAAGCTCCGCCAGGCCCATCAGCTTGTTGGCAGATGCATGTCCTTTATCTCGGAAGATAACGTACGTGAAGGCGAAGCTGACGATGCTCATGCTAATCCTTGTGATGATGGTCACGAAGCGCATCACCCATGAGTGCGATGACAGTTGCGACGATGATGTTAATAATTCCGACGACCATGTCGAGGAGGACGACGGCGACCAATACGCTGACGATGAAAATGATGGTGTTGGCGGTGTTGGTGTGGTGGTGGAGACTGTCATAGAGTGCGAATTGTCCTGAACCTTCGTAGTCGTCCAGCTTTTGTGGGGCAATCGGACACCACGGCCAAAAGCCAAGCCCTAGATCCTAAATAAATCCCATGCTTCTGAAGCCTATAGAGCCTAAACCCTGAACCCTAATCCCTAAACCCTGAACCCGAAAGGCGCCTACTGACCTTGTGTCTGCATTTTCTCGTTTAACTAGTCTGGACCCGTCGTTGTGAAGCCTTGCCTGCGAGTGTGCTTGCTGGCTGGGGCTCGCCTCCAGGCATGCGCTTTAGAGTTAGGGTTTAGAGTTCTGGATTCATCGAGCTTTAGCACTTACGGCTTTTAGGAGCTACGGCCAGGGCGCAGGGCTTTAGGGTAGAGGTGTAATGCTTGGGTTTGTGAGAGTTTGAGGGTGCAGGGCTTTCTTAGCATCAAGGAGTCCCAGCCGCAAGAGGTGTAGCATTTCGCATGTTCGGCTCGCAGTCTCGGGCTACGATTCTGTTTCAGATAGCCAGACCTCAAAAGCTGTGCTCCTAATATGGGGGCCTAAACAATTACCAATATTATTTTGGGGGTCCCTTATTATAAATGTAGTATAATATACCCCCAAACCCTATTCTAATTATTAAGGCCCCTATATTACTTTCTACCTCTCACCCCGTCCTGCATGGGAGGTTCGGTTGACGCCTTCGACTCGAGCGCCCGGACCTAAGACGGTCCCTTCTGCTTAGAGACCTGCCTGTGTTTCGGCCCGATTTGAAACTCCCCTGAATCCCTGTTTCGGCGGTGTAGCCACTCTGAGTCACGGCTGTTCGCAAGCAAGTTGTCGTACTGTGAGTTGCTCTTTGTGCAGTGGCTGTCATGGATCCATCGCTGTTGGGGCAAGGGCAACGTTGTGGAAGCAAGGCCCCAGACAGCACTCGTGATGTTTGGGCATTTGAGTTTCGGGAAGCTGATGCTAACTCTCTCGGCCTGCCAGGGACGCCTCACTAGCGGACGATGACTTGAGTGTCCTGGGGCAGTGGAAAAACTCTCCAATTACGAACACAGCTCAAGCACACTGGTACTGGTGTCAGCTAACCGAACAAAAAGCCCGCCAGTGCCCCAAACCTGAAACTCCTAAACTTCCTCAACGCTGTGGCGAGATGTGTGTTTAGCCTTGTATGTCAGTTGAGACCGTCGTGCACAGGGAGCCCAAACAAAGCAGCCGACTGGAGGATGAGAGGGGGGGGGGGTTTCGGGTGAATGGTTGCCGGGACGTTCGAAGGGTATGTCGGCTGTAGTAGTGCTTGCTTTCATTACACAATTACCTCAAACCCAGAAAGCTAGCAAGGAATGGTCCAAACCAGCACCAGATTTTGGCAGACGCCATGATCAAGATGCTGGAAAGCAAGCCAAGATGCAAGAGCGAAACGAAAACAGGTCAAAGTTGGTGACGTCCCTGCAAGAGGCAGTCAGTACACGGCAACGGGTTTGTCAGCTTACTTCCTCGATTGTCCATCGTACTGTGTTGCAGTGCAGTTGGCCGCTCATGCGCGATGCTGCGGTTTACTGCACAGATTGCCGCCGAAACTCGTTTTTGCGCCGAGCAGTTGTGTTTCCGTCTCGTTGCCTTTTGCAACTTGCCGCGTACTGCAACGGCATAATTGTTGTTGTGCTAAAGCAGTCGTACATTCGTACGATATGCGACGTTTGTGCTTGCTTTTGCCGCTTGTTTGCTATCGGAGTGAATTTGGGTGATGCCCTGGGCCTAAGGCATCGCTGTGTTCGCTTGAAAACAGGTGTGGCAGCGGAGCGCACCAGGAGCATTGACTGAGAGGTGTTTGTTGTCGCCTTTGTTCTCTTTTCCGTACACTGGGGTTATCCTTGATGATTTGATTCGATGCCGGTTTAATTTCCGAAAAAGCACTGCAAAGGAGCGACAACACTGGGAAGTGAAGCTGCGGTGCCCATCTGTTTTCTGTTGCGAAAGGCTTCTTCAAGTAGTTTGGGGGCTGTCAGCTTATGGCTGCAGCTGAGGTGCTAATGCGTCAGGCCATGTCGGCCTGCCCTCGTCAGAAGCCCGAAGCTGCGCCATGCGCGCCATAGACTGGACAGACCATAAATGTGCATGGTTTGGATTTGGGGACCTGGGAATATAGGGGGCCTTAACAATATCAGAAGACGGTTTTGGGGCCCAATATACTATAGATATAATGAGAAACCCCAAGCCTCTATAATAGGGGGCACTGACAACATGCTCACCAGCTTGGAGTTGACAAATGAGGGTCCGTATTTGAGACTGACGTCTCCGTGCACTGCAGCATTGCAGTTCATGGCGAGATCACGAAGCAACCATGCACTGACCGAATGGTGCCCAGCTCCCTGCAAGGTTCATTATGATTACCATTGTTTGTGTTGTGATGATTATATGAGTAATTATGATTGTGGTGACCATGCCTGTTATTTTCATAGTTGCTATCGTTGCAACACCAAACAGCACTCAACGTTCGCGTTTCAAGCAAAGTATTCAGTGTCGTCGCCTCGACATTTGCAAAAACACAATCACAACACAAGAACAGCTCAAACCATTCTGAATCTAATTTTTGCACTGCTGCCGCCTGTGTTATCGCTTCTAGTATTATTTGCGCTATTGGTGGCGAATGAATGCTCGATGCTCGTTTTCTCATTGTGTGTTCTTCTGTTATTGTTTGGCAATGATGCTTAAGTGACTCTCTTCACGACCATAAATGTCTCTTTTCTCGTGGTTCCACGTGGCTTCGCATTGCATCATGTGCGCTGTGCAGCATTTGGGAATCAAAGATCCGCTGGCCCGGTGGGCGCATACCTGTGAAAAGCCTGTGCCTCGACTTGCCAGTTGGCGTGCTTTAGCAGGAGTCTTTTCTCCGGGATCCGGCGTAAATACGCCATAAGTATCATGCAAAAACCCAGAGCCACAACGCCTTGTGTGCCCCGTTCTCAACAGGACGTCATGGCTGTGGTGCCTTCGCTGGTGTTCGCCTTGATCAGCATTGCCTGGATGGCGTGCCTGGGAGAGGCTGCGGAACTAGATGTTTGGCGTAGTAAAGGGCTGGCACTAGAAGCAAGAACATCACGTTTTGCTTGGCTCTAAAGTGGGATGTTCTTCTTGAGCGTTGTGGGAGCTCGTGTCCTGAATCTTGCGTTCTGGCAAGTGTGTTTTGCATATTATTATTATTATTATTATTATTATTGTTATTGTTATTGTTATTATTGTTATTATGATTATTATTATTAGAAACTCTGGCAGGTCACCTGGGAGATGTCTCGTTGCGGCTTCGAGATCGATACGTGTCTTTGGCTGAACACTGGCAATGCCAGTTGGCAGCGTGCCAGTGGCCAGGCAACCGATGCTAGGATGCCCAGTACTACCCTTATTCCCTTTTTGTAGTCCTAGGTGCCTTATAAAGTTACCCAATACCAAAAAGAGAGGCCTTTTTATTCTTAGGTTACTGGGTATCCTAGGATGGGTGGTTGGAGGCTGAAGGCAATACGTCCGACGGCCAACTCTTCATCATCGAGAGCCCTATGTTGACTGCCGCCACCGAAGAGAAGGGTTTGGTCTTTTCCTACATGATGATTGGATCGAGATCAGTGTCCCTGGAGGTGGAACACAAGACAGAGTTGTCTGGCTGGTCAACCTTGTTTGCGGAGAGTGGAGACACCGGCACGGCCTGGAAGGGTGCCTCCATCCGAGTGCCCGAAGGCACTGTCGGCCTCCGTCTCCTAGCCGGTGCTGGTGTTGGGTCTGTGGTCAAAGTGGATTGGATTTTGGCTGTGGAGACAGCGAATTGGACAGACCTTGGTTGCACCTTCGAGGTTGACTTCTGTGGGTGGTCCTCTGGTTTTGAGAATCGGTGGCGCATTCGGCGGGGACACACCGGAACAGCAGCCACTGGGCCGGGGGCCGCTTTCGATGGGTCCTGGTACGTTTACACGGAAGCTAATTGGGCTCGAAACGAGGCAGGGCATTGTTCGGTTTAATACACGGGAGCCAGGACAGCTTGGATCCTTTGGCCCAAGACTGTTCCAAACATGTTAACAAAAAGCACTGCGCCCCATCCGACTGCAGGCCTTTATCCTGACATCTCCGATGTTTGAGCGCAGCAATGTGACGAGGCAGTTTGGCTTTGCCTATAACATGTACGGCAAAAACATGGGAAGCTTGCAGTTGGAGTCTTTGGGCCGCAGCCACTGGACAACGCTTTGGCTACAAGCAGGTCCTCGAGACCCTCGCTGGGAAACGTACTACGTTGCCATTCCCCAGGATGCAGAGATGTTGCGGTTCGTGGGCATTACGGGCGATGGCATTGCAAGCGACATGGCTCTGGATGGCCTCGCTGTTGGTGTCGGCGCCCTGCCTCCGGGCCTGGACTTAGAGCACCTCGCCTGCGATTTTGCCTGGGACACCTGCAGATGGCTGAACACTGGCAATGCCAGTTGGCAGCGTGCCAGCGGCCAGGCCACCGATGCTAGGATGCCCAGAGTACCCTTATTCCCTTTTTGTAGTCCTAGGTGCCTTATAAAGTTACCCAATACCAAAAAGAGAGGCCTTTTTATTCTTAGGTTACTGGGTATCCTAGGATGGGTGGTTGGAGGCTGAAGGCAATACGTCCGACGGCCAACTCTTCATCATCGAGAGCCCTATGTTGACTGCCGCCACCGCAGAGAAGGGTTTGGTCTTTTCCTACATGATGATTGGATCGAGCTCAGTGTCCCTGGAGGTGGAACACAAGACAGAGCTGTCTGGCTGGTCAACCTTGTTTGCGGAGAGTGGAGACACCGGCACGGCCTGGAAGGGTGCCTCCATCCGAGTGCCCGAAGGCACTGTCGGCCTCCGTCTCCTAGCCGGTGCTGGTGTTGGGTCTGTGGTCAAAGTGGATTGGATTTTGGCTGTGGAGACAGCGAATTGGACAGACCTTGGTTGCACCTTCGAGGTTGACTTCTGTGGGTGGTCCTCTGGTTTTGAGAATCAGAAGGGACACTGGAGCCTCAGGCGGGGCCAAACCGGCACAAGTTACACTGGGCCAGAACGTGCTTTCGAGGGGGACCGGTACATTTTCACGGAAGCTTCTGCAGCTTTCAACGAGGCAGGGCTTTGCCGGGCTTGGCTCGCTTTCGACTTTAGTGATATGTGCGCCTGCACACAAGCTACACAAGCATGGCGGGGCCTAAAGCGGAGGGGTATATAAAGTGTTGATAGGTTGTCTTGCTCTGCGACGACGGTAGGGGAATGCGAAGTCCACGGGACCCACTGGACGCCGCACCCTTTCGGAGTCCAGAAATGTGGGAAAACCGTAAGGTAGAATCCCACTTTCATTGGCCTCTGCTGCACCACCTGGCATAGCGACGGCCGGTCTGCCCATGCGCAGGACTGTCATTCCTTTTGGAACGCACGCGGTGCTATTCCGTTTCTCCGGGTTGAGGGAGGTGTTTCGCGAGCATTCTCACCTACACCTTCGCTGTATACAGCTATATTACCCCAGTTTTCACCAGGCAGGTTCACACACATTCCCTCCACACCCGCACACTGAAACACACAGACACGCACTGACACACACACACACAGACACAGACACACAGACATACAGACACACAGACACACAGACACACAGACACACAGACACACAGACACACAGACACACAGACACACAGACACACAGACACACAGACACACAGACACACAGACACACAGACACACAGACACACAGACACACAGACACACAGACACACAGACACACAGACACACAGACACACAGACACACAGACACACAGACACACAGACACACAGACACACAGACACACAGACACACAGACACACAGACACACAGACACACAGACACACAGACACACAGACACACAGACACACAGACACACAGACACACAGACACACAGACACACAGACACACAGACACACAGACACACAGACACACAGACACACAGACACAGACACACAGACACACACACAGACGCACAGACGCACAGACGCACAGACGCACAGACGCACAGATGCACAGACGCACAGACGCACAGACGCACAGACAGACACAGACAGACACAGACAGACACAGACAGACACAGACACACAGACACACAGACACACAGACACACAGACACACAGACACACAGACACACAGACAGATAGACAGACAGACAGACAGACAGACACAGACACACGCAGAGACACACACACACACAGACAGACACAGACACACAGAGACACACACACACACACAGAGACACAGACACACACACACACAGAGACAGGGAGACAGAGACAGACACAGCACGCGGTAGTGTTGATCTGCATTCTGAAAACCTCAAGACCAGTCGAGAGCCAGGACAGCTTGGAACCTGGTTCCGAATTTGTTCAAAAGCAACCTTGCGCCGAACCGACTGCAGGCCTTTATCCTGACATCTCCGATGTTTGAGCGCAGCAACGTGACGAGGCAGTTTGGCTTTGCCTATAACATGTACGGCGAAAACATGGGAAGCTTGCGGTTGGAGTCTTTGGGCCGCAGCCACTGGACAACGCTTTGGCTACAAGCAGGTCCTCAAGCACCGCGCTGGAAGACCTACTACGTTGCCATTCCCCAGGATGCAGAGATGCTGCGGTTCGTGGGCATCACGGGCACTGAGTTCAGAAGCGACATGGCTTTGGACGGCCTCGATGTTGGTGTTGGCATACCTGTTCTGGGCCTTGAACACCTCGCCTGCGATTTTGCTTGGGACACCTGCAGATGGTTGAACACTGGCAATGCCAGTTGGCAGCGTGCCAGTGGCCGGGCCACCGATGGGTGGTTGGAGGCTGAAGGCAATACGTCCGACGGCCAACTCTTCATCATCGAGAGCCCTATGTTGACTGCCGCCACCGCAGAGAAGGGTTTGGTCTTTTCCTACATGATAACTGGATCGAGCTCAGTGTCCTTCGAGGTGGAACACAAGACAGAGTTGTCTGGCTGGTCAACCTTGTTTGCGGAGAGTGGAGACACCGGCACGGCTTGGAAGGGTGCCTCCATCCGGGTGCCCGAAGGCACTGTTGGCGTCCGGGTCCTGGCCAGCCTTTCTGCAGGGGAGAAAGCGACAGTTGGTGTGATCTCCGTTGCAGATGTTAGCTCAAGCTTCGCAAATCTGAGCTGCAGCTTCGAAGCCGATCATTGCGGGTGGTTCGCGGAATCTGGTGTCTGGTCGCGGTTCGCTGGGCCACAATCGTCCTTCACGGGCCCCGGCGCAGCCTTCCGAAGCGACTTTTACATTGCCACCGCGGAACACATGGATGCCATTCTGACTCCAGAGGCCGGGCCTGCAAGGCGGTGTGCAACTCGCTTTTCGTCGGTAGCTTTCTGCTGTGCCGAAGCTTCCAAAAGATGGAAAGAGCTTGCAGTAGTTGTCACGTGTTCGCCCTCGCGCCCTCGCAGGCCGTGCTGATGAGTCCACTGTTCCCTGCGGCTGCCAGCAAGTTCTTTTTGGAGTTTTCTTATCACATGACGGGCGCGTCGATAGACCGCCTGGAGCTGCAGTACCTGCGTCGAGGCCGTTGGTCACGGCGCTGGGCGCGCTGGCGTTCTCAGGGCAATGCCTGGCTGCAAGGCAATCATAGGGACCCTTAGGGGGTAGGGGGAGGGGTGCCCCCAGATAGGTATCCCCCACTCCTGTCGGAGTATCTGGGTTCAGCTAGGCCCTTAGACCTAATGACTTGCCCTTGCACGGACAGCAGGCTGTTTTCACTGCTACGCGGAGAGAGCTATGGTGTCTTGAACCACTTGAGACAGAATGGGCAACGGAATAGATACATGTGAGTATGCCACCATGCCATTGGTGTACGTAAGGACCTAGCGGACCTAGCATACCGCCTGAGGGCGTATAGGATTTTAGGTTTCAAACATACTCTGATTTTCGTTTACTGAAAGCATGGCCGGCACATTCACACGTATATGCTTAATGCCCTGTTATCAAGTGTGATGCGGAAGGTTTGGGCTCTGTAAAAACAACATATGTAGTCCTACTTAGTAGGATACAGTTCCATAAGACTGCAATGCCCGTTCACTCCTTTCGTCACTTGCAGTGATCGTGTGTCCTCGAAGAGATCTTCTGCACATGATCAGGTTCTAAGGATTACTTGGTCGAATTATGCGGCGTATGTCTTCGTTCTTGGGAGAACACACACTTCTTCACCCTGGTTCTTTTGAGAATTCTGCCTTAGTCCGACTCATGAACATAGGAATTGACAAGAGTATGTGGATGTGGCCGGTCAGGGTCTGATCCGTTCTGCTCGTAGTCGGAGTAAAATATTCCGAGAGAATGACGGTGTCGGACTACCTGGACAAGCCTTTGGTTGTGGCACAGCTTGAGAGCTGGTTGTGCTCCGTCCTGGACTGTCTTGCCGTGGTCTTCCATCTGATGATGGCCACGATCTTTCTGACTCGTCTCCTGATGGGGAGACAGCATTGCGGTGAAGAGTGTCCCAGTATGCACCTTGAAAGGTGACAACGCTCGGACGGGTGCTGTAAAGTAGGCATCTTGGGCATCTACCTCGTTAGGTATCTCATCGGCCTCTTCACTCATAGTGTCATTACCTGAGCTTGACAGGTCTTGAAACAAACATTCGAGAGTGTTCTTCAAGCTGTCATATCGGCGTTCTAGTTCTGATCTCCGTACTGCCGCTTGGTTAAGCCTGCAACCGGAAGAGCTTAGGTGTGTCAAGAGGACATCCACTCTTGCGAGAGTGTTTCGATGGGAATTGATCGCAGCAGCTCGTTTTTTCTCCCTCCTGAGGGAGGTACGAAGAGCCTTCACCTGATCCAGAACTGCTGTGAATCTTTCCACAGGAATGTGCACTGTCTGGTCGTCTCCAGTGTTGAAGTTTTGACCGACCAGCATCCTTTTGGCTTAAGAGATCAGAGATGCCTCGGTAATTGACGAAGTGCCTGAAGTGTGTTTGGTGAAAGCGACAGTTTCTTTTCCCTCTCGCGGCTTTTGGTCCTGGAGGTTCTGCCCACCCCTTCTCGTGCGCTTGGGCGCAGCTGTGAACTTTGGCATCGACCCTTGAGAGGGCATTGTGCTCTTTGCTGGTGGTTGCTTAGGATGTGGTGCCTGGGCTGTCCACGAGCGGCGGCAGTAGACTTGGGAGGTACGTTTGAATAAGTGACACCAAGTGCTTCTTCTGCCATTTGTCGGTGCATTGCTGTGTCCAAGAGTTCCCTCGTGTTTGAGGTATTGCTGGCCTTTTCATATGCCTGAAAGCGACCAATCTCACGCTCTGTGTCAAGTGGTCGTGTATCACCACGGTTGGAGATGTCATTTCGTCGGGTTCGGACACTTCGACAAAATGAAAACAAGTTTTGCACAGGGTCTTTTCGTTAAGACCCCTTGCTCGTCGGAGCTGATTGCAGTTCCTGGAGAGATGACAGTGTTCGCTCCTAATCTTCCTGAGGGAAGAAAGCTCACCAGCTATGTTTTGCATGCGTCCATTTCGGAATTGTCTTTCCTGCGGTTCCGCCTCGGGTTCGAGGAATGGAACATTGGCCTTAGCTTTGGACCTAGCCTTAGACTGAAAAGTCTGGCGGTCCATGCGCTAAGCAGCAGGTCTAGTAAGTTGTCTCTAGAGCCACTTAACACCCATGAAGAGTAGGAGCAACTTCCATAAAATACTCATGTCGGAGAAAGCTTCTCCACTTGGGAGTGGAATTGAAAGACTCTCGTCACCCTTGTCAGGTGACTGGGCGTTTCTGTTTCGGTGGCCAAAAAAGCCTGCAAGACCTCCTGCTGTTGCAGCTGTTCTAGCAGCTTTTGTACTTGGTGCCGAAGGTGGCTGAGACTTTCGCCGTGTGCGGCGTCTGCTGGAAGAATCTTCTTCATCGTCCATCTCACCACGGTAAAATCCTCCGCCGTGCATCTAACTAGATGTCTCTATTGTTCGATCTCTTCGATGTCGCTTTGTGTTGGAGAGGGATACCCTTGCTGTTGAGTTTCCTCTTGTTGGTGCTGTGCCACCTCATCCAACGTCATGCCCAACTTCTCGACCACGTTTGGTCTTGTTGCGGATGATCCGGTTCCTCGAGATCGTGATCTCCGAGGAGGATGGCTGTTGGACTGTCCTCGGCCTCTACCCTTTGGAGGGTATTTAGGCTCAGCGGGACGCTCAGGTTGAGGTCTATCATACCAGTAGTTACCTGAGACTCTTGTCCCTTGGGATGACTGGCTGCTGGTCTGCTACGAAAAGGATCAATATCCTTTTGAGGATCCTTTTCCATTGGAGTGTTGGCGTTGTCCCTCTTCTCTGGCAATACGGTCGAAGTAGGATCTGTTGGATTGGGGCCATTGGGCGTGTGCCAAATCTGCGCCTGAATCTTAACTCCCAGAGGGGAGTGCCAGTCCTTCTCTAGAGGACCTAGCCACAAAGAGATATTATCCAACCTGGCGTAGTATTCGTTTTTACGAGTATCGAGGCGCATGTCAATGTGGTCCTGACCATCCTTGGTTTGCCAAGTGTCGGAAACTCTCTGCCAGACGGTTTTTGATTGAACTCCATTGACAACTCCACTATTCGGGGTCGCCGTTTGCGGCGTTTTTCCCCCAATCCAGGATGTACATGTTGAGGCAGTCCAGATCGGCCACACAATCCTTGATTTCACTGGGAAGTCTGTCGGCATGAGCGAGTCTTTCAGCATCAGTATTGTCGATGCAGCTGTATCGCACTTCTGAGTGCCTGTCTGTACAACGAGTATATGCAGCGAGCATTTCCTCTAGATAGAGGGTAAATAGCCCGTTTCGAGGATGAACATCACCACATTTGTATTTGGCTCGAGATGCCAAAGTCTTGAAGTCTCCGGCAATACTGTCTGGTTTAAAAGGCAAGACTTCCTGTAGGAAGCTTTTTGCATAAAGAAACTTCGGTGCGTCCATATGTGTAAGGTAGGAATTGAAGTGCACGAGAGCGACCGTAACGACCTTGAAAGGTCCTTTGTGGCAGAACAGCTCGTCAAATGCGACGGGTGCCGTCTGATAGTAATTTTCTGCGTGCGCTTCGAGGTCGGCCTCAGTGCACTCTTGGTCTTCCACCTGACCGTCCCAGTGCAGAAGCGTCGCTGGAGGGTTTTCATCAGAGGCACTCATCCAGGGGTCTGGAGTTAGGTACGTGATTTCATCTGGCCCATCCTGGTCAGGATCTCGGCCGTCGAGCGGATCGGTATCGAGAAGCTCGATGTATTTTTCTCTTTTGAGACGTTCCCGGGTGACGGGGTAAGTCCATTTTTTGGCTTCTCCACTGTTGGAGTGCATGCCGAAACTGATACGGCAGACAGGGCCATGGCATGCCCATGTCTGGTACCTATCGCCTCTGTTAGTTGCGACCTCGAACTTCTCGGCTTCGAAGGAAGCGGTACACGAGTGCGACATAAGTCGTACTGCCTCCCTTTACCCCCCATGTATAGGGAAGGAGCTGCAGGGACATGAGGAGGAGTAGCAATCAGGATGCCTGTGGAAATCCTCCGAATTTGGAGAGCAGACTCCGTCTCCAGTCATTTGCCTCGAGTACGAGGATACTGCGCGCAGAACTGTTGAAACAAAGGTCCACCAGTGGGTGGTAATTACAGCCTTTTTCTGGTTTCAACTCTTCCTTGGTGTTTCCCCATGGCCTGCACGGTCGCGGTAGGTTACCAGTTGCAAAGAATAATTCCGAGAGCATTGCTAGCAGGATTCGAGCTCTCAACCTCATGTTCCGTCTGGCCCATGCCGCCTAGACGGTGTGGGACAAGCTCATAATGACCGTCCGGACCTCCTTGGACACATTGCCTGTAAGATTGAGACAAGAGGATGGATGCCATGTTTAGCTTCCTCTGATCTGAATGAACTTGCCATTAACTTCCTTGTGTTGTTCCACGGTTGGAATCTCACAGCTTGACCGACAGACATTAGCTGGCAAGAATCGACGGTCGTAGAAGGCGGAAGGATGCCAGTCGGGATTTTCTTCCAGAAACACTTCCCTTGCCCTTTCATTATAATGCCAGACTGTCTCCATATATTTGTCCACGACATCTGGAGGAAGATGTGTTTCCATTAGAACCTTGCGCTCCAGAGAGCTCATCCCCGCGGAATTGCTGGGTTGCTCCATAAGGTCTGGAGGAAGGATGCAGGAGCAGATTGCCTTGGATCCCTCAGGTGTTAGGCGGCAATCAGCGCGTATCGAATTTTCGCACGTGTAACAGAAATATGCAGTCTTCAATATGCACAAGTCGCATTAGACTCATTAGAGCTTTTCAGGTCGTGTTTTGAAATTCAGCTTTTGGTTGAGACTGATCATTGTTGCGCGAATGCCCTTGGGTTTCTCCTTGCGAGGAGGCCCGGGTGATGTGGCTTGGCCATCTGCTGTGGGAGATTCCTCATCGTCGTTCTCAGCTCATTTTTAAGGAAGGGTGTTGTCTTGACCGCTCTGTTCCAACGGCACACTTGCCAACCCGTGCCAAAAAAATAAACGTAACCGACCAAACCCTTCAACATAAAGGTAATTGTTTATAATAAACGCAACCGTTCACCAAAAAAAGTAATTCTTCAGATCCGGTCTTGAAGGCCTTTTCTTCTTGCTCTCGCAGCAGTGTTGTGCAGTTCAGCA